ATTCTTCCTTACGTAATCAGCTTTAAATACAGCTTTTCAATAAAAGTATCATCAACACATGATCCATAATATATATCATATAGAAATACCCGTTGGAATGGTTGGAACAGTTCAAACCCAAGCATTTTTGTCTGTAATATAATCAGACACTTTATAATAAGCATTCTTAATAAGAGTTTTTTTTATAGTCGATTTAAATTTAGTCAGGCTCAACTCTTGAATATTGCTTGGGACTTTATTGTAAAAGCGAACACAGAGGCCTCTAAACGAGTTATTAATTTTGTGGAGCCTAGTAGCAGGTAAAGTTAACTTATTTTTACTTCTAGTATTAAGTGTATGTATTTCACTATTTTTAGTAAATAAACTAATATTTTTTTTGACATATACTAAGTTTTCATATATGTATTGTGATGCAACCGTCATTATGCCTATTTCTTTAAACTTATTTCTTAAAGAGTCCTTAACTTTAAGATTATAAATTGATCGAATAGCCCGCTTCTGCAACACAAATATTGTTTGAATATCGGCGGCATTTCCCCACAGTAAAATACCGTAAGACATTACACTATGAAAATAACTAAAATAGACTAATCTGGCAGTTTCTATATCCGTTAACTGACGTATTTTCATTACAGCATATGCTGCAGAGCTAAGTCTCTTCGACAATTTATCAATATGTGGGCCCCATTGCAACTTTGAATCTAGTGTGATTCCTAAGAACACTGTGGTATCTACAAGGCTCACATTTCGATCCTTTATATTTACATTCGTTTTTACCTGTTTAACATTAGGTAAAACAAATTTCAAACACTTAGTTTTCCCTTCATTTAGCAGTAAATTATTAACGTTAAACCAGTGGACTACCTTAGAAATAGACTTGTTCACGTCGTCAATTTGCGACTGCCTACGTTTAATTTTAAACAAAAGTGAAGTGTCATCCGCAAACAATACTATTTCATGGTTATCCTTTACAAAATAAGGCAAATCATTGATATAAATTAAAAATAAGAAAGGACCAAGGATTGAGCCCTGCGGAACTCCCATCTTAACCGACGAACCAGGAGATTTTTCTCCATTGATGTCAACCCTCTGAACCCTATCACTCAAATATGATACAATAAGATCCAGAGTGGTGTCTCTAAATCCATAGTGCTGTAGTTTCCTGATCAATGTTTCATGAAAAACGCAATCGAATGCCTTTGATAAGTCGCAAAACACACCAAGTGCATCATGCGAGTTCTCCCAGGCATCAAAAATTTGCTGTACAAGCTCAACACCGGCATCGGTTGTTGAGCGACCCCTTGTGAAACCAAATTGTTTACTATGCAGAAAGTTATTACTATAAAAATATGATTGCATTTGATCTAGCATAATCTTTTCAAAAATCTTACTAAAGGTGGGTAGCACGGATATGGGTCTAAAATTTGTGGGGTCAGATGTGCTACCCGATTTATGCAATGGAGTTATTTTACTATGTTTCATTAGATCAGGAAAAACACCACAGTCAACACATTGATTAAAAATGCTAGCCAGAATAGGAGCTATTGTCTCAATTACTGATCTAGAAACATCCACGGAGTTACCCCACAGATCCGCGGTTTTCTTTTTATTCAATTGGTTAAAATATTTGATTATGTCTTTAGAGTTAACATATTTAAATTTAAATTGACTAGTACCTTGTGTTATGTTTTCTTTTAATATTGATTCAGCAGCAATGGGGGAGGAGTCCAAGGATTTTGTAGTTGAAACTGGAATATCAGTAAAAAAATTCTCAAATGCTGTAGCAACTTCAGTATCTGATGTAACATTTCTATTTTCAATGTTTAAATTAAAGCTGGTATTTCGAGATTTAGATTTTCCAGTTTCATTGTTTATAATGTTCCACCGATAAAACACCTATTATGTAATTACTAGTCAATTAAAGTATATAGATTCTAAAAGAAGATTTGTTTGAATCAATTTATGACAATGAAAATTGGCAAGGTTTCATAATTGCAAAATTAGTGAGCTAACGTGGCAATATTTTTCGAATTTCATGTTGCAATTAACGCCCGCCAAAGGCTCTGTTGTTTGTATAATAAAATAATGTAAAAGAGTTTTGAAATAAAACAGCTCTTCGTGGTGGATGCGAGTAAAAACTGCTCCATGAGTTCTTAGTCTATACCTCATGGAAGCTTTAGGAAAAACAGTCCTGTTATATTTCGTGCCGAACACTCCAAGGTATGTTAGCATGAGTCACACCAAATGGTCATTCACACCACATTGTTACCTATATGTTAAAAAAAAAGATATATATAAATACTACAGGCTATATGGGCATTCTATCGTTTGCCTTCCTAGTTAGGTCGAATACAATAAAAATGCCCATGTCAATGTCACCATGCCAAATATGAAATATGACATGGAGTTTTTGGCGGGATTTCATCGAGTGCGGTTGGCGTCTTATTTTAATTATTCTAATATTCGTCCATAGTGGATATTGTGAAATAAAATTGGTGTGATTTTGTGTTACAACCATCTGCGCAACTGAAGAATTAGTGGAATCTTTAAAATATACGCTATTCCGGTCAAGTGGACGTGAGAATTTTATTGTAGTATTGACTACCTCACAGAAGCTTATCGAGAAAGCCAGCTCGATATATTTCGTGCCAAACACTTCAAGAAACATTAGAATGCGTCACACCGACATTCTAATGTAAAAAGAAAAACAGAATAATTTAACTTAAGACTAGGCTGTATGGGCATTGTTCCCCTTGCCTTCTATGAAAAAGGAGAACCAGTGTTGCCAACTCTACGTCTTTTTACGTAGATCTACGTATTTTAGGCCTTTTCTGGAAACCTACTAACTTAAGTCCCAGAATCTACGTATTTTCTTATTTTTTTTCAAATTTGTAAAATAACTTAATTCACTAGAATAAAGAAGAATATTTTATATTGAATATTTAAGAAGATGTATCTAAACACTCTTGCATCTTGTAGAAAAGGTTCCCGTTATTGGTTTTGTTGACTAAATTAATGCTGGACGCAGGATTTGTGAAAGCAGAAACGACAAAACTCTTTGACTTATTAGGTACATTCATAACCTTAAAAATTGTATTTTTAAACTTTTACTATTATCAATGAGTACCTACTCACATCGAATTGATCTTTGCAAAAAGAAAAGACTTTCAGTCGATAAAGTTACAGGATTTAGCAAGTTTTAAGCATATGTTCATGTGTAAGTATGTTTTTTCTCTTGGCAATTTAAACCATAACTTTTCTAGAGTCTTTTACCAAGTGTATCATGATAACTACTATATTTTTCATGTGATCTATTAGAAATCATGGTTTCATAATATTAACTTAGAAAGTATATTTCCTACGTGCTTGCGAGTGTTTGTTTACAAATGTTTTGGCGCCATAGCATAGATAAGTCTATAGACTAAAGAGCGTTTAGGTATGTCTTCTAGGTAAAAAAAAATTTTTTTTTCGTTCTGATAGAATAATTATTAACAATTTAAAACATAATTCCAAAAAGTGTCAACTAGCCCATTTAACAACAGTTTATCCTTGTCATTCTCTATACAGAATGAAAAGGAGAGACTGATGTTAAATTAAGTTTTAAATTTAGAGAACCATCCAGAATCGGCACCCACCAGTGTCTGTATCTGATGGTAAATGTTTACCACAGCATGGTAAATGCTTCCAATGCAGCGACTTCTCCAAGAACTCTTCGTTCTATCTCCCGTTCTTAAACAAATTGTATAACAAAATACTCGTTTTATTCGGTTTCAAATAACTTCTTCATTTCACTCAGAAAAAAGTACGTAGATCTCCTTACTTTTCATATGCAAAATTTACCAATTCTACGTAATTTTCTCATCGGGCCTACGCCTTTTTCAAAATCCGAGTTGGCAACACTGAGGAGAACTTACCAAAAAAAAAAAAAGAAATATGACATTTTAACCTGGTTGTACCTCGGCCAGCCAGCGGCCAGCCCTGCAATGCAAGGGATTCTTGTTTTATCTGCGTTGTATTTGAAATAAAATGTCCAATAATATAACGAAGATATTGTAAAGTTCTGGGTGACTTTGTTGTGCCACATGTTGTGAAATGAAAAGTTGTATTATCACGCTATTATAATTTTTGTGAACAGGGCGCATTAAAAATCAACCAGTTGGTTTATTTTGGTGAGTAGAATTTTACATTTTTACTGCTTAGGGTAAAATTCGTATGTTTGTAACATTATAAATAATAATACGATGCAATAACGAAGAGCATAGCCTTGGAACAGCAACAGTAGTTCATTAAATGATATAACGATAAATAAATATTTCCAACACACACCAATTAGCCTAACCCTAATGTAAGGACTGTAAGCTTGTGGTATGGGTTATGGGTAACGGATAGAATACATATGCTGATACATAAATAAGTATATTTATATAGAAATACGTAGGTAATTAACATCCATGACTGGAGAACAAATGCTTGTATTCATCACACAAACATGTCACCACCGGGATTCGAACTCGGGACCTCTCGAGTAGGCGACACCTTGTAACCCGGTGCACATACCACTGGGCCATGGAAATTGTCGGTCAAAATATTGTAAATCATAAGTATGATAACTTCTTTTCTATTTATTTATATGCAGCTAATGAGTTCAGATTGTCTGCTTTGAACCAACTAAAAAAAAGTATCATAAAAGTATCAGTTGAGCTACTACAGTTTCACTATTTACATAAACTATCTATTAACTAAACTACTGTAACTAGGGCTCCAGCTCATTTGATATTCCTTGGTGACTATATAGCAAAATATATGAAAGCCTTTCAATAATGCTAATATTTTTTTATTACAAAGGCCTCTTATTTTTTACTATTTATTATTTTCAATTCTTGTACTTGCCTTATATTTTATTGTTCTGTTATTTTTCTTACTTGTCAGATAATAAGAGGACCAAGTAATCATAAATAATTTAAATAAAGGAGTATTGACACTTGTTATATGTTGAAATAATGGCCAAAGCATCTGTTGTGTTGAGCTTCCATGAGATTTTATTACACCAGTCAGACTTAGAACTTTTGGATGGGCCATATTGGCTGAATGACACAATTATATCATTTTATTTTGAATATCTTGAAAGAGTCATGTTTAGTAATGCAAATGAACTATTATTTATTTCTCCTGAAGTAACACAATGCATAAAAATGGTGGAAACTGAAGAAATAAAAACCTTTTTGGAACCCCTTGATATTAACAGAAAGAAATTTGTGTTCTTTGCTTTGAATGATAATGATTCTCCCGATACTGCTGGTGGCTCCCATTGGAGTCTCCTCGTATATTCAAAGCCGGAAGGTTGTTTCTATCACTTGGACTCATCATCAGGAAGTAACCATAATGTAGCTTGGGAATTTGCCAGTCATTTAATTTCATATTTCTCGAAAGGAGGTAAGATAAACGTTTATTACTATATTCAAGTATTGAATACTGTAACCTGGCCCCATGGTTACCCAGCAAAGATAAAAATGGCCCTGGGTGCCATATTTAAAAATTATTAGGGGCCTCCACACCTTTAAATCTGGCCTTGTGGGCCAATCACCTCACGGAATTGCTATCACTGTCGCTATCACTTAAGATTTCATTTTTTTATTTCTGACCTTCTGAAGCTGAATGTTTTCAAATACCTCACAAACATTTTCTTTAATATTGTTTTTTGCCAATGCAAAAGAAAAAAAAGAGCACACGGCAAACCTTCGCCAGTCAGAATTAGCCATAGTAATCTCATTAGGCGCTTGACACCCTGGAATTATAACAAACCAACTAACAAAAATATTTATGCCTTTTAATATTTACAGGTTCTGTTAATTTTGTGGATAAAGAATGTCTCCAACAGAGTAACGGATATGATTGTGGCATTCATGTGATTTGTAACACAGAAAGATTAGCAGACTGGGCACACAAACATGGACAAATAGAGATGTGTGATATGCTAGTTAAAATCAATCCAAGTGTGAAGAGAAAAGAATTAATGAATATTATACACAACTTATCTAATTCACCATGATTTTTAATAACATTTATATTATGTACATTAAATATAATTCCATGCAGTGATGTTTCTAAAATTTGTGCAGACTTCATAATTAATTAAGACACATTTAAAATTAAATAATATCCATATAATCTTTATTTGATTACTAATACGAAATTTTAAATAAATTGTTTCTTAGTGCAAAGTATCATTAAAAAAATACTTTTGTGACATTTTGGAATTAAAGTTAATACTATGACATTTCAATGTTGTTCTATTTGTAAGTAATACTTATAAAATAATTTAAATGAAAAAAATTATTACCAAATTTGTGTAATAGATGACCAATAATTGATTTTATTTCTTTACTAGTTTTAGTTTATTTTTCATTAAAAGGGCTCACTTTGTTTTTAACAATCAATAAAGTTATAAAAATATGTAGCTATATGAATTGTAGAAATATTGATTGTAAATAAATTCAAATTTTGTTTATAAATTATGATTTTTGCGGTTCTACCCAGCCTCCAAATGCTCTGTCCAATTCTTCAGCCACAGTGAGACACAGTCTATCATTGTTATGGTTAGATACTATTTGAATCCCAATTGGTAAACCTTCACGTCCTAATCCCAAGGGCACTGTAGTAGCTGGCATCCCAAGACAATTTATAATAGCAGTATAAGAAAAATTAAACGCCCTCACTAGAGGTTCGTTGTGGTAAGGCGCTGGTGTTGGATGCGTTGGAAATAAGAAAACTCCATCGTCTCCTAGCATATCTGTGAATTCCTTTTCCAACTGATCTCGTAACTTTAAATAATAATTATATTCCTCGGTCCCATACTGAGCTCCAGACCTATCCGAGAGTGCCGTCAGAAGACCAATTAAAGTATTGCCAGAACATCCGATTATATTTTTAAAAATCTCCTTTATAATATTTCCAACTCCTGCTTTCGTCATAATGTATTTTTCAAATGTTGTTTCTTCTTTCATTGTTGTCATCCAAATCGGCATAGATTTTTTCAATAACTTAATATTCTTTTCTTCAATCTTTATATTATGTTGCCGTTCTAAGAATGTCGCCACTTGCTTCATTGCCGTTACAATGTCAGGGTCTACGGGATCTGTCAAAGGTGCGTTATTGCTAACCTGGTAGTAAACCTTGAGTTTGGTTATATCAACAGGTTGATCTAACTTCAATTTTGTGCTGTTTTCTCCAGCCATAATTCCCAATAGGGGTTTCAAATCAACTGCATGTCTTGTCATGGGTCCGGTACCTGTAAAGCACAAATTTATTCGTAAGACTTATCTGATCTCGAAAAAAGGTTTATGATTATTTAAGATTCCATTACATGTAATAACAATTGGTAATGTAGGTACCTACCTAGAAACGAATTCCGAAGATCTGTTACTGGGGGTGGATATTGCCCATCGTTCGAGACGATAAATTTCGACGGCTTATGTCCAAAAATTCCATTGAAGAAAGCTGGCATGCGGATGGAACCACCTATATCGGAACCTGTAAATGATCACATCCGGCATTAATACTCAAAATGTTACAATGAAGACAAAATACTGGTAGACATAAAAAAAAAAAAAATTATGAGTTAAAATTATAAATAGTTAGGAATCAACACACCATCATATAAATCAATCATGAAATTTCAAACAAAAAAGCAACATATCCAAATTTTTTGTTCTAAATAAAATACTAAAGCACGGTACAATAGTTATTTATTATACAAGAGTGGAAAGTTCCTTTTTAACCGCGTGCTCGATTTGGATGACCGAGCAAGCGAAGGATTCTAAAGTTGAATCACGAGCGCAGCGAGTGATTCTAAATTAGAATCCTGAGCGTCAGCGAGGGAAACAAACGAGCACAAGGTGAAAAATCTTTCCACTCGAGTGCAATACGTAACTTTTCATCCCACCTCAGCGAGGAAATGACAAAATGAAAAAGAAAACAATTTATAATGACAAAATATTTTTATTTCAATTAAAACACATTAAGATAATCTATAAATTGAAGAAAATAATAAGAAGTAGAAAATAATTAAGAAATATTAAATGTAACGTTGCTACAGTTACTTATGTTAAGTTTAATATTTTTGTTAGGTAATGTTATGTTGGTGTTTGTGAATTGTGCGCTGTTTTGTGGTAAACTACTCGTATCAGTAATTTTAAATAGTTGTGCCGATTCATTGGATTCTATTGGCGTAAATGTTGGCGAGAGAGGGCTATTGTTTCCAATCTTATGGGGGCTCATTTTAGATGTAGAAGGGCGAGACCAAGAATCTGACAGAGGTTCTTTCAGCGTTATGGCCTCCACGATACTATTACAAATTTTTGATTTACTTTGGATTGAATCCTCTATGTATCCCTCTACAACCGAATTAGACTTCCAGCCTCCATGGCGCTTAAGCGATAGAAGATCAGCCCCTGATTCGGCCAAAAGTGTGGCTGAGGTTCTTCTAAAACAGTGACCGGTGTATAACGGGGGTTCTAAAAGTCCGAGAAAAGTTGCTATTTCTCGTGGAATACTGCCAATTTTATTCTGACCCATAGGTTGTCGGATACACTTTCCGTTGCGATATTGTAGAAAAAATCGTTCAATTGGGGTGTTAGAAGGACGTAAAGCTTGATATTTCTGAACAATGTTTACATATTCCTTGCGAATAACGAAGTTGCGGTCTTTTTTTGTCTTGGTATTTAGTACATTAATTAATAGCAATTCATCAGAATTATGAGAATATTTTGATACGTTATTGACATTAAGTAGTGTAAGTTCATTTGTTCGACATGCTCCGGTTATACCAATAATAAGAACAACCTGTAACAAAAGAAGTATTTATAATCGTAAATAAATTAATCAAATTAAAAATATTGTAAGTACTATGTACAATTTTATCAACAACAAAAAATTACACGTATTGACTTACTTTTGCCGCTAAATATACGGAATCAGGTGCTTCATTAATAAACTTTGCAATTTCAGATGCTGTGAAAACCTTCGATTTTTTTGGTTTATAACCAGATGAGGCTCTTTTTAAAAATGCCACTAATTTATGATAGGTGTCGATATGAACGTCTTTCTTCATCTTAATTGTTAATTTTAGCATTGAATACGTACTCCATAGCGTGCTTGCTTTCTTGGTCTCAGATAATTCTATAAAATATGCCAGCAAAACGTTTTCGGAGAAAGTTTTTGCTCCTTTAGCTAGTCGCCACATGTTAAATATATCGTACTGTTTCAAATACTTCTCTCGTGATTGCTGAGGGAGAAGGCTCATTTGCGCATTATTAACTGTTTCAGTTAACTCAGTTGGCGTTAGATAAACTTCATCGTCGCTAATGTCACTCATTTTAGTTGATTTTTTTGTACAGTTTTTAGGTTATGTTAATTATATTAAGCAATAAAACGTGAAAAACTAGAATGGCGCGAAGCACGCAAATAAAACAAAGAAACCAAGAAGGTTCCAAATTTAAATTTTTTCACAATTTAAAAAGTTCTAATCATAAATTTGGCACCATAGAGGTTACATTAAATAGGTTTAATGACGTTTTGAATTTACAATTATATTGAGTACTCATTATATGTGATGTTCTAAATTCAAATCTACTTTGCCGCTCAAGCGAATAAAATAGAATTTTCCAGCCAGATTTCGAAGCGCAAAATTACACTTTCCGAGGTGGTGGGATGAAAATAACATTATACAATTGTAACAAAAATATAGGTAGGTATTGCTCTATTTTAATTACGAGCTTAATGGCGCAGGCGGTTAGTGCCATTAATAAGCGCCTTCGGCCTGCGATCGTGGAAGTTAACCAACTTTCGCAGTGGTCGGTCATTGCATGAGTGACCAAAAACTATATACTATATATTATCTCTAGCTCCTCCATGCTCCAGAAGGCACTGCAAGCCGTTGGCCCCGACTGTATCTGCAGTCGTGAGCACAATCACAATCTCCCTATTCCAACTATAGTGAGGCCCAGGGGTTTGTTTACCCTAGGGCTAAAAGAGCCATGGCCCCGGGGCTGCAGGCTGCGGCGAGGGTCGAAGCCGTATAAAGACATTCGTTACTGACCTTTCTTTAATAAATTTCTAATTCTGGGGGTGAGGTGCAAATCTCAGGTGGCTCGGGGCGCTAGAAAATACTGCCCTAGGAAAGCTTGTGCCCTAGCAGAGGAGACATCAATAGGCTGATGAAGGTGATGACTCACCAACTCCAAAGATACTTCCAGCCGCTGCTTGAATAGCACCTTCTCCTCCCGACGAGCCCCCGACGATTCTTGTAGTATTGTACGGATTTTTAGTTCTACCGTAGATGTGATTATGAGATTCCCACCTGAAATATTATCACGTACGTGTTTACTGATTGTAATAAAATTATATATTTTCATGTAGCTAGACTGATTCTCAGTCTTATTTGCAAAATAAATATATAGGTACCTACCTAAGGGCAACATTTTCAAACTTAAGACAAAACGATAGTACGAGTATACTAAAAAGAGGGACACCGAAAATCACTTTAACTTAATAACAGACTTATTAACAGTGTTATTAATGCGGGTTCGAGTCCCGTCCGCTGCCTGGTCCGCGTGGATTTTTTTCTAGTAAACTTTTCTTTAGATTTAAACATCTAGCAGTTAAATGCTTAAAAATAAATAAAATCATAACTATAATTGCTATATCTTCTTTCAAATGTTTAATACTTGAAAAAGTATTCATTTGACATTGTGGGTTGCCTACAATGCGAAGAGATGGCGCTGCCTTGCAGCCTAAGGCTAGGAAAATTTCGACGCGGCTAAGAGGGCCGTGGTAGCATAATGGTCAGTGCATTCGCCCGGATTGCGAAGGATGCGGGTTCGAGTCCCGTCCGCTGCCTGGTCCGCGTGGATTTTTTTCTAGTAAACTTTTCTTTAGATTTAAACATCTAGCAGTTAAATGCTTAAAAATAAATAAAATCATAGACTTATTAATACTTAATTAATAAGTCTGTTATTTTTATTACATTGAATAATAAATTTTATCTGAGATACCTACAAAAAGTTTGAGCAATCATTATAAAGCAGCCCAAAACCATTCTCAATTTAACAAGTGTTAATCTTCTCTTACGAAAATACTCATATTAACAAGAAAAAATAACATAGCTTAAAACATTATTATCATAGTAACTTTACTCAACATTGTAACAATAGAATGTCTCGATAAATCTCAAGCGTCGTATGTACGTGCGTGTCTCAAACGTCATAATAGTACATACTTTTGGCGATTTTAGTGAATTAATAATTCGCTTTATAGCGTCAACAATGTTAATGTAATTCTTAAAGTTCTGACCACATGCAAAGTTCAGGGACGTTGGTGAGTCCGATCAAAATAGCGCCTTTTTCTTTCAGCAGTCTAATGACGTCGGCGTCACGGTCCGCAATCACATCTTTCCTTAACACCACTCCTGATGTGTGATGTAGACCTGGAAATGCAAAATACACAAATAATTTTATTTCGTAAAATTAAAAAAATAGTGCGTGTCTGCCGCACTCAGTGTAGGGTTCCGTAGATGCCTGTAGTCCACAATATATTTGAGCAGGAGTCTATATTTTGTATATCGGAAATTAGAAAACCCAATTAATATCAACCTATCTGTCTCAGCTAAAATACCTAAATCAAAGTTAAACTGCGACTCAATCTTAAAATGAAATCGTAATTATTATTTTTATGTTTCCTCCCAGAATATTACCCTACTGCCGGCTGCAAGGTTATGTCAGACTTACTAACTAAAACACACCCTATTTAGGTTTTTACCCTATGGATACGAAACCCAAAAATAACGAAAATGTAACAAACTAAGCGTCTTATGAAATTCATATCAAATCAATGAATTAGAGAGGCCTTTTATTTTTTTACCGGCTTGAAAAGAGGAGGAGGTTCTGTGTTCGACTGTATATATTTTTTTATGTATGTTCACCGATTTCTCCGTCAATTGTGGACCGATTTCCAAAATTCCTTCAAATCCTTCAAATTTCAAAGGCACGCACGATGTTTTTTAAGCATGTTCACCGATTTATCCGTTGGACAGTAGGTTTCTATTATTGAACAAGACAAGAAGATGGGATTCTTTTTAATTCAGCCTCGTAAGCGTGAAATTTGCAAAAAACGTTTGTTCGTAAAATCTTATCCCTTGAACCTATTGACTGCAAATTTTGCATAAACATTATTTGATAGATGTACGGGACTCGAACCCGCACCCTTCGCTATCCGGGCTATGTGTCAGGTGTCCCGTCTGCTGCCTGGTCCGCGTGGAATTTTACTAGTATTATTTTCTTTAATTTTAAAAACGAGCAGTTACATGCTTAAAAAATTAAAATTATAACTGTAATTGCTATTTCACCTTTCAAATGTTGAATGCTTGTAAAGGTGTTCATTTGACATTGTGGGTTACCTACAATGCGAAGAAATGGCGCTACCTTGCAGCTAAAGAAAGGCTAGAAAGAATTCGACGTCCATCAGGGCCGCGGTAGCATAATTGTTTTATAGTTTTTATGAAATTGTTTTTGTTGTTGAAATTATCAGCTTCTTAGTTTTTAGTAAGTTTTTTCATTATTTTAGATTTTGGTATAGTTTTTTCTTTGATTCGCTTCGTTTATTTGTCGATTGTTTTTCTTAGTATTCTAGATAAGTAGGTGTTTAATTTTAATACATTAATTTGATTAGGTATTCATTATGTTTCCATAGCATTTTATACACCCATGTAAAGCCACTACAAAGCGTATAATAATAAGCTTTAATATTATGTAATATCGTTTCATTTTTTAATGCGGGTATCGAATTTAATTTCGTTACTTTATCGCAAATCTATCTATAGATAACAGGCACAATCACATTAAAAACTTGGACGTCATCATGAGTCACAAGCCTTAGTCACAATACTTAAAAATGTTTAGTGATTTTTTTATATTTTTTTTAATTAGTAGTTTACATCTCTTTTAAACAGTATAAAAAAATCTACGTCAAAAAACTAGTGTAAAATATAGCAGGGGGAGTATAAACGCGCACTATTTTCGAACACTTAGATGTGACGTCACGGTACATAACCTACCAAACAAGATCAATGACCTTAAAATATACTAACTTTGTGCGTTCCATACTTCCACTGTGGATGGAGGTCGAAACCTACGTCAATCAAATAGTCATTATGTTTCATACATTTTTGGTAACAATTAAAATGTCATAGTGAAAAGTTGCATTCGATGTCTGGGTGGAACGCGGCTTTGACATCAACGCACTCGCACTATAATCTCGCGTTTGTTATATTTTTACATCATAATCGCTCGTCATTGTCGCATTTCAAAATATTTGAATTTAAAGAAAATATAACTAGAAAAAATTCCACGCGGACCAGGCAGCAGACGGGACTCGAACCCGCACCCTTCGCAATCCGGGCGAATGCACTGACCAATTATGCTACCGCGGCCCTCACGGACCGCGTCGAAATTCTTTCTAGCTATTCTTAAGCTGCAAGGCAGCGCCATCTCTTCGCATTATAGGTAAACCCACAATGTCAAATGAATACTTTTACAAGTATTAAACATTTGAAAGAAGAAATAGCAATTATAGTTATAATTTTTATTATTTTTAAAGCATGTAACTGCTTGATGTTTAAATCTAAAGAAAATATAACTAGAAAAAATTCCACGCGGACCAGGCAGCAGACGGGACTCGAACCCGCACCCTTCGCAATCCGGGCGAATGCACTGACCAATTATGCTACCGCGGCCCTCACGGACCGCGTCGAAATTCTTTCTAGCTATTCTTAAGCTGCAAGGCAGCGCCATCTCTTCGCATTATAGGTAAACCCACAATGTCAAATGAATACTTTTACAAGTATTAAACATTTGAAAGAAGAAATAGCAATTATAGTTATAATTTTTATTATTTTTAAAGCATGTAACTGCTTGATGTTTAAATCTAAAGAAAATATAACTAGAAAAAATTCCACGCGGACCAGGCAGCAGACGGGACTCGAACCCGCACCCTTCGCAATCCGGGCGAATGCACTGACCAATTATGCTACCGCGGCCCTCACGGACCGCGTCGAAATTCTTTCTAGCTATTCTTAAGCTGCAAGGCAGCGCCATCTCTTCGCATTATAGGTATTTGAATTTCTTTTATATCATTAATATCTTGCTCGAAAATATATTTTATTAACAAATATTGATGTACGACAACATAAAGTAATAGAGTTTGTTATAAAAATAAACTTATTTAAACAATCTTATTTCTATTAGAAATGTGTAGTTAAGTATGTAGATGGTTAAATTTCCCATGCATCGAAATTTAAAAGTTTAGGACGTTGATGTAAAAACATGTTCGTCTTTACCTTTCACAGACATGCAATCTTTAGTAGTGAATGGAACACCTAGGAAAGGTTTCTCCTTTTCTAGTTGCTCCGGCGTCATAGTGCCGTTTCGAACGAGCTCGTCTGCCTCACGCGCTTCTTTCAGTGCCAATTCAAAGCGATCCTCGACGAAACAATTGAGGGCAGAGTTCACATCTTTTATGCGCCTTATGCACGTCTCGAGCACTTCCACGCTTGTTATCTGAAAAAAGAAGAAATGTGTACTCAGTTATAATAGAAATGTAACACTACTGAAAAGAACGGCGCAAGTGATAATTGAGTATCACGTCTAAAAAAACATAACAATGAACACATACACAATACATGATAGAACATCAAACATCACAATGAATGCGGAAAAACACACAGTCTTCATGTGTCCGTTTTAGGCATTCCCAATATTTTGTAAGCTCACAAGAGTTTAATCTAGATTTTTGAAGTATCCATTTGAAAGCAACGGTTGATTAGGGATTAAACCTCAAGATTTTTTCTATTGGGTATAAGATAAAATATGGTGTTTTAAAAATAAGCCTTAAATAGAAGCTTGTTTATCGAGATGTCGAGATATTATTTCCTAATGCGTACGGCAAACTCATAAACGAGCTTATGGTCCCCATAGACTATAGACGCTTGAGATACCGCAAATATCGCTCGCACCGTTGCCTAGCTTGGCAGACTCAATTCTCTACCCCGTGGAGCCCTGAAACCATCCTCACCGGCAGAAACATCATGCCAACTGCTAACCAACTCTCGAGAGATAGGAAAAGCCCACAGTGGACAGGCGGAAAACTGCTTTGAATGCTGAACTATCCAGTTCAGCATTCAAAGCAGTTGGTGACAGATATCCACAACCAACCAACAACCAACAACCTTGGTGACAGATATCCATCTGTCACCAAGGTTTCCGGTCAAAATCCAAGGCTGCCTATTCATATCGTGATTCAACAAACAAATTCAACTGGGTTCTACAAATGTAAAATATTGCGGTTTAATGTTTACCATCCGGAGGATCATTACGGAAATTTATATAAAAGCAAACTAAATTTATCATAAGCGGCCTTGAGCACGTTCAGTCTCACGGAGAATCATAAAAACAACGCCTTATTTGTTATAAGAAGTTTTCAATTTGCTCATTTGATTTTTAACCTTAATTAATCATCGTGTTAAATTTAATAGATACATAAAATTTCTAACACGGGGTAGAGAATTGAGTCTGCCAAGCCTAGCTTGGCAGACTCAATTCTCTACCCCGTGGAGCCCTGAAACCTTTCTCACCGGCAGAAACATCATGCCAACTGCTAACCAACTCTCGAGAGATAGGAAAAGCCCACAGTGGACAGGCGGAAAACTGCTGTGAATGCTGAACTGGATATCTGTCACCAAGGTTTCCGGTCAAAATCCAAGGCTGCCTATTCATATCGTGATTCAACAAACAAATTCAACTGGGTTCTACAAATGTAAAATATTGCGGTTAAATGTTTACAATCCGGAGGATCATTACGGAAATTTATATAAAAGCAAACTAAATTTAGCATAAGCGGCCTTGAGCACGGTCAGTCTCACGGAGAATCATAAAAACAACGCCTTATTTGTTATAAGAAGTTTTCAATTTGCTCATTTGATTTTTAACCTTAATTAATCATCGTGTTAAATTTAATAGATACATAAAATTTCTACAATGCGAACACAAATGCGTCTAAAAAATCTATGGTCTAATTAATTGTATTCGTAGCGATTTTTTTTAACTGTTGCTGCTTTTGTTAAATGTGGATAAGTTTCTTGCGCCCATTCTTCTTATTAGCTAAAAGATGTCCTGAATGGGTGGGGTGTTAGGAAAAAAATATTGAATGATTCAAAAGATCTTTTAATGAGTCAATTTGATTTTGTTGCGATAGGAGTTGTAGTTTTCTTAAGAATCGCGATTAACTCTTATCTTAAAAGGTCACCCCTCCAGATCGCCCGTAATTTAGTTTTCCTCTGTTTATAAGTATTGTCCGAATATATTTGCTCTCAAAAATTATCGAGCCTGGCCTATTGAAGGGGGAAGATTGAAGCAATTCAAGTGTTCTGCGAAACGGTGATCCCACTGCAATTAATGTTTTGAACTGTTGTTTTCTTTTTTAATTCATATCTTCAAACCAACGTTGTCGAATTATTATTAAAAAAAAATTGTCTTTAGATTAGATGCTACAACGGCAATAATAATATATTTATTAATAACTCACAACTATCGAAGTTATATCCACAGAAAGTGTGTTTCATCAACTTACTGTGTTATCAATATCAAGCAAAAAACACAATGTTAATGATTTGCTAACTTTTGAATAAACTTGCAATTAACGTTTTTTTTATAATATGAAAATATGTAGTCTGATGCATCTATCATTTCTTTAGTTTTTGTCCGTAGATTTCTCAGACGTGTTTTCTTACTACATTTTTACTACCGATTACATGTACAACTGGAAAACGATTCTTTGAAATAAACTCGTCGTAATTGAAACTTAAAAAAAATATCATTCTTAATAAGTTCCTGTTCATTTTAAATACTACGAAAAGCACTTTCTATAGGTATGATATAGAATATATAGTTTTATACTTTTTGAGAAAATGAAATCAGAGTGAGATGAGATTAGCAAGTTTTCTTTGCTGACTATAGTATATTTGATGAAAAATCAAATTTTGTACATAATACTTTTACAGTATTTTAGCATATAAATATACACATATTTACGGTTTATGAGATACAGTTGCTTAAAATATATGGTTCAAATTCGTAGCAACGGCATTTGAACTAAGGGTATCCATCCATCCATTTGGGCAAGGAACCCCAAAAATATGAGGTATTAAAATCGTTTATTTATTAGCATCGACTTGAGTACAATATATTCTGGTCTACTTTTCTGATATGGAACTCCCAATAGGATTGAATTCAATTATATGTACTCGCTACATGAGTGCTTAAGTTATATCAAATCAATAAGTACTTAACTCCATTATAAAAATGTAGTCATCATCATAATGTTTTAAAGTACCTATTATTTTCCTATAATTGTATTTGGTAGCAACGAATTCTCCAATGTTAGGTAGGTACATGCTGAACTGAAATATTATATAAAAATTGACATAATAAAATGTAAATGAGTAACTTGCGATAAAATATAAACAGATTCTCAGTAAAACTTTTAATAATATCTTATTGCCTAATGACACACACCACTCGTTAAGATTTGTTTACCGTACTATTATGGCGATCCCAAATCGTGATGCTAAACCTGGCGCAAAAAAACGAAGGTGTGTTCATTTTCAGTATGAGTGAATATTTAAAAATAAATTTGTTTTAATTAAATAGATACCTAATGAATCTGTGATTTCTCTATGTAGGTATTAAGTTTTTTTTGTTTCAAGTAGGTAATTTAGATATAAACGATAAAAATATTATAATATCGTAAGAAGTAACGTACCTATTTGCGCAATTACTGTAGGAATAAACTTATGATCTTGATAACGATTTCAATGTGAATTTAATTAAAAACCTTGATATTTAAAAAATGACATTTTACCGTTTAATTACAGGAAAATATGACCTAATTTGTATGGTAATAAGACTCAACCTGTAGACATAATAGTTGTAACATCGCACATGTACAACTATGTTACAGAAGTACTTAAACTATATTTTATGTGGTACTACTTAACTGATAGCAGTTGTAAAAAGGGGTAAGTATCTACTTACTAGTGTAGGTCAGTACCTACCAGTAGGTAGTATAATATAGGTAACTAGTAACACTTAAAAGGAGGAGTTACATAGGTACCTCCTTATTCCTTATTCTTCGCGCCACTTCCACAGCCGGCTGCTTTAGGATATCATCTGTTATCTCTGAAATTTTAACTCCTTCTGTGCCGTAATATAGACTGAAGAAGAATCTAGCTACAGTCGATATAACTAGCCTAATCACATGTAGCACTCGTAACTTTAGTTTCATCGGCGATTGCTTTGCCTCTGTCGTACTCATGTTAACAAAACTGACAACTATTTGTTTAGACACACCAAGCACAAGACGATCGATATTCAAGAATCAACAACACTATAACTGAACATAAATATTACTCGCGGGCGACGCCTGTACTGCTCTGATATTAGACGATCGTAGACTGCATGAATGGCGGATTGGCGGCTCGAATAATCACCCATCGAGTTGGTGGGATACGTAATGTTATCATGCGTCTCGCTCTGACGATTGTGTTGGCTGGTCGTCGAGGTGCGGGGGCTGTGGTGCCGGCAGACTGGCGGCCGGCTAGCCGGTTTACTTTATAGCTGAAGGATAGCAACCAACTTGACTTTGGACGGCAGCAAAGATAAACAACCATTTGGCCAGATATTGGCGTATAAGCACACGGTGCGTTATGATTTCATATCCTTATACACTTATACTCTCGTATTTATATAGGTAGATACTGATAACGAACAGTGATATTTTTACCGTAGTGCCACATAATGATGTAACCTCGGAACTATAACTGAATAACTAAAGGCATGATCTGAGGATGGAACTGAAATAATACTGTGTGATTTGTGCAAGGGCTTCTTCTAATTTGGCAAGTCAATTGTCATTAACATGTTTTGTTTTTACAATCAACGGTCTAGTACCCATTGGACCTTACCTACAAAAAAGTGCCCGTTCGACCTCCTATCAAGAACATGGTGCCCATTGGACCCTCAAAGACGTACTTAACGACACAATGAGAGCTATTGGAGCTCTTAATTATTTGGCTAATTCTTTTGGAACGATAAAGTACAGTAGTGTAGTAAAGTAACATTGTAAAAGACATAAAAACACAAATAGACCAGGGTCGATAATTTTTGAGACCAAAAAAAATTATAGTAGGATGAAACCCATTAGAAAAGGTAGAGAATATAATAAAAATGAAAGGAAAGATAAATTACGGGCGATCTGAGGTCGGGAAGGGGGAGGGGGTGAGTTTTTAAGGGTAAAAAATGGTTAATCTCGATTTCCGGTAAAACTGCAAGTCCTATGAAAAAAAGTCAAATGGCAAAGTTGTAGGTAATAAAAAGATCCACAACTTTTGTATCGATACTTTTTTCATATAACCTCAAAATTTATGTGATAAATGCGAATAACCGAGTTTTTGGTTTTTGATTTTTATTGTTTGCAAAAAAAATATTTTTTCACGAAATTTGGTGAAAACTTACCTTTGTATGTCCCAAACATACAATATTTTTTTTGATTTAAAATATTCATTTTTCCACCTTATTTTGACTTAATATCGAAAAAGCACCCTTATTTTCAATCGAAAATTCAGAAACTGCAAATTAATAATGAAAAAAACTCCAATCCGAAAAATTGTTTTGAATCATTATGTATAATTTTGAACTATTTATTAAAATTTACACTTTAATTACTCAAAAACCTAAGATTTCATGTTATATTGATAAACAGAAAAATTACAAATCCATAAAACATGCAAAAATAGTTGTTGTAAGTAGGTATTAAAAATAGGATTATCGGATTCGAGTTTTTTCATTATTAATTTGCATTTTCTGAGAACATTTATCATAGTAGTGTATATTTTTTTTATACCATCAGAAAGTAGAGATTTCAAAAAACACCCCAACTTTTTTAAAAAAGCAGATATTTTGACGTGAGAATTTTCGATTGAAAATTAGGGTGCTTTTTGGATATTAAGTCAAAATAAGGTGAAAAAATGCATATTTTAAATCAAAAAATATACTGTATGTTTGGGACATACAAAGGTAAGTTTTCACCAAATTTCGTGAAAAAATATTTTTTTTTGCAAACAATAAAAATCAAAAACCAAAAACTCGGTTATTCGCATTTTTCACATAAATTTTGAGGTTATGTGAAAAAAGTGTCGATACAAAAGTTGTAGATCTTTTTATTACCTACAACTTTGCCATTTAACTTTTTTTCATAGGACTTGCAGTTTTACCGGAAATCGAGATTAACCATTTTTTACCCTTAAAAACTCACCCCCTCCCCCTTTCCGACCTCAGATCGACCGTAATTTATTTTTCCTTTCATTTTTGTTATATTCTCTACCTTTTCTAATGGGTTTCATCCTACTATATTTTTTTTTTCACTTTTCACCATTTTTAAAATTATCGACCCTGGTCTAAAAGGTTATATATCTAAGTATTTAAACAACATGTTTATAAAATTCAAAATACTCATCATCAGTAATAAACCAATATAAATATTTACATAAAATATAATAATGAAATCACAGATTTTTTACTTTACTTTTAAAGCCAATAGAAATTATTTTTTATCAAATAGCTTAACCAAATTATAAATATGGTTTGTTATATCACACAGATTAAGCACAATTATTATATATTCTAAATATTGATAAAATAAGTAAAAGCACAAAGGTTATAAATGTAAGTAAGTAAAATCAACATATTTATAAAATTCGAAACATCAATCATCAGCAACAAACCATATAATATAATAATCAAATCACAGATTTTGTTATTTTACTTTTAAAAAGATTTTTTTTTACTCTCAGTCAGATTAACTATTTAAGCACAATTATTATGTATTCTAAATATTCATAAAATAAAATTCCAATGTAATATTTTCATATAACCTTTTATAAAAAATGTTTTCTAATCATATTTTTACAATTAACGAGAAATTGCTTATTATAAAAACATACTTTAACTAAAGGATATGGTTCAAAAGCGGTAGTCGGTTTCCGGCAGGGACGAAATATATATAATTTGAAAGTTTGTGTAACATGAATATCTATTCTTTGATTTTTTTATTCATTACCGATTATTTTAAAATCGTGTTTAATGATTAAACAACTTTGTAAGTATGCTGGCAAGATCGTCGATCTTAGTAACGTCATATTTTTAGTGCGTGGTGACTTAAAACGTCAACTCAATCACTATGGCAAATGTTAATCAGTCCAGTCATGGATTATTATCAGAATTATTATCACTGCTTTTGTTACACATTGAACATAATATATTTGATGCTTGGCAACAAAAAATAGATAAATAAACTTGCCATTTGCAAATCAATTATTAGATAGATTTATGTTATTTTAATATAAAAAAACCGGGATAAAATAAAATTATAGGTTTTTGTCAAACGATTCACAATTAAGTGCGCTGCATCTCATAAAAACTTGGAGTCTGCCGAAAGACCCAGTACCAACTTCCATAAAAAATTTAACACTCTTCTTTTGTAAAACATTATAAATTACCAAATTAAATATTTTTAAGACACGTATGTGAGTAATTTTTCTAAGTAATGGCCTACGGTTGTAAGATTATTTTCTAGCTGCAACATAGTTCATAAATCGGAACGAGACAGCAATATTTCTCTCTCTCTCCCACATATGAGATCGGCGCCATCCTTTTGTTTAAGCGCAGAGATTGCTTGGGCTTGGAATCTATAACCTTCCTTTCACCAGGTGCTTAAGAGGAGTATAACTGCCGATGAAAACACTCAATCTCCCTCAGAATTTCAGTCTTAGATCAAAAGATGATGTCCACCGTCATGTTGCTTAGATTGTCTAGATCCAAGCTGTTTTAAGGAATTTGGAATCAATCGAACTTTGTTCGATTTGATAGGTCTTGTGGATTTGGTGTTGCGCTGTAAGGGTATTTATTTTGTCAGTGTACGATCGCCCTATTGAGTGAAAACTTTTTACATTAATAATCATTAATGTAATTAAATTTAAAATTAATGTAATTAATGATCATTCCTTTAAACCTAAAGCACAAACATATAAAATGATCTTTAAAGAAAAAAAGGTTTTACAATATTTACGAAAATAAAAAGATATTGAAGTATTATCATTGTCACTTGCACCCTTATAATAAAAATACATAAATAACCCATAGAATAAAAATACATGTCAGTAGTGCAATATTTGGTTTTGGCTCCTTGTCAATACGAATAAAATAAAAATAAACATTATACAAATTAAATTTTGATTACTTTTGATTCACTTTTTATTTTCTAAATATCTCCCTTATATCTTATTGTACGAGTACCTTACTAAAAAATCCAAATGTTTTAAAAATTAGCTTTTCTTAAAGGTTATAAATATCTCCCTTATATCTTATTGTACGAGTACCTTACTAAAAAATCCAAATGTTTTAAAAATTAGCTTTTCTTAAAGGTTACTGTCATCTGTCTGCGTCCAGTATTTATAGAGCAATAGACGGAAAACAGTTTTTTTTTATTTTTCCTGAAAACTTACATTTTTGGAGTTATCTTTTTATTCTCCGGGGACGGCGAAATATCGTTAATTCGAAGAAAAAAGGCAACCTGATTTCTTTATAATTTGTTTAGAACTACTTACTGGTTGGAGTCAGTACTTATACAGTATTTAGTTAGTGGCTTTATAATACCTACAAACTAGCAAAAATAAAATTAATAATTTTATTTTTGCTTAACAAAACTGTTAATAAGGTCCAACTGGCAGTAGAGTATAATCTTGAAGGTCCAATGGGCACTTAAAAAGATGTTCAATGGGCACATTGAATATAAAATTTTTAAGGAGATCCAATGGGCACCAAAAAAGAGGTCCAATGGGCACATTGAATATAAAATGTTTTAAGAAGGTCCAATGGACACCAAAAAAGAGGTCCAATGGGCACTTTTTGCTTTTGGGTCGAATCTTGAGGGTCCAATGGGTACTAGACCCAATCAACTTTTTATAGGTGCTCATCAAAAAAGTCTAAGCAACTTGAACTATTTTGAACTTTTGACCTAATATTTTAATACTTATATTATTTTGTTAATTTGATTAGTTTATTAGTGACTAAAGCAAGAAATCATTTAAATAAATAATACATTTCATAACGATAACATAAAAATTTCAACTGATAAAACTTGCAGTTTGCATAAATTATGAATTTTGCTTAGACTGTTTTGATATGTATATCTTTAATTATTCCGTGTTTTCACCTGTGTTTAGTTTGGTTTTCTTAAATATTGCTCACGATCATTGA